CGCAAATACTGCTTAACTAAGTGAAACTCGAATGGACAGCGGATCGGTAACTGAATTTAAAGTAATATACAGAAAGGACCTGTTGAAACTACCTGCTTGTTTTCACTAAGCTGGCGCTGTCGTTACACGCAAACATACAATCCATTAGCCTAGGAAAATATTTGTATAGGATACGCAAAGAGATAGACGAGAGATTTTTCCTGAAATCTCACTATCCGAAGAGTATCAAGTAAAGGTGTTTGTTATTTTTATAAGATTTATTTGAAAATCTAATAAAAACTTTTTACAGTTTAATGTAAATAAAACTCATCTGATGCGAATTAATGGGAATTTAAATCTAAAATATAAAAAGGAATGATTAGATCATTTTTATGTTTGTTTGACTGTATTGAATCTAAATCTTTCACTTACATGAGGCATAACTATAATTTACGCAAGCGAAGTCATGGAAAATTTGCTAGTAAAAAGTAAATTATTATTTATAAACAAAGAATTGCAGTGCTATTCTGTAAAAAAATCTGTTTCGAACTCGACGAGCATTGCGTTTTCATAGTATAGATGGTCAGTCAAATGAATCAAATTGATCAAAAACTGATTTCAAAGGTACTCAAAGTTTTAATTAATTTAACCTCTTTGCTGTGACAGCGTCGTGCTTGACGTCGAGGTCGAGAAAGCTGTTGAGTCAACGCTGGCTTTACAACAGAATAGTAAAGCTGAACTACAATGCAATGATAAGCACGTCTATAATGTGGATGTTAAGTATTTTTTGTGAAAGCCAGAAATCAGGTGGGTGACCAAAATTGTATACAGTACAAAGGTAATTTATCCTTAATTTCTCCGTGCTGGTAGTGGGCTATAGCCCGATCTCCCTCTGTATACTAGCAATGGGGTCATATTAGCCGAGTGGTTAGAACGCCCGTTTCAAGGTATCGACATCTCTGAGGCCCCGGTTTTATTCCCGGTCGGTTTAATGTAGAAAATAGACTTTTCTATATTGTCTCGGGTCTGAGTATTGTGGTGACTTCGTTGTCTCAGATACTTCATAACAGGATATATTTCAGTATTAGCATTAAAATGTTTAGTATAATAGGATAATACCTAATTAATAATTATTTTTTTATCTCTGATGACCTACAATATCCATAGCAATAAAACATAACGAAGTTTTGCGATTGCACTTTCTTATTCATTTATATTTAACAAACGTTCAAATATTTGTAGAAAAGTAGTATTCACAATACTTCCTTCACGATTCTATTAACAGCGCCATCTAACGTTACGATGACATAATAAGCAACAAAAAAGCTCCCCTATGCCGCACCCCAACGGAAAAGCAAAGCAACGCCCTCTGTGAAAACTCACAAATACATATATCACTGAAGTTAATTCACCGAAAAACTACATGAAAACTCGGGCGCTGGTGTGCACATTTTCATAATTAAAAAAGAAAGCATTGATATTATTCCTTGCCATTTGTTTGTTATGGGTCAACGAGAAATCATCGATACGATATATAAAAGTTCTTTCATCATAATGATAGATTTTAAGCAACTAACAAAAGAAATATTTTGTTTCGAAAAAAGGCGGAAAATTCGCACAGTCCGCTAATTTATAATGATTGGTGTTCGCTCGGAGAATGGGGATCGCGACAAAATGCTTTTTTTTTGTCGGTAAAATATTAAACACGTATTTTTTCCATAATTATTTAGTTATACAAGAGTTAAAATATCACATGACGCCACGCTTTGTATATTTTCTATAAAACTGTGACGTAGCGAGCCCCCACTCCTCAACTTAAATGCCTGTTATCTAACCTATTTTCTATTAAATTGAAGTAAAAAAAATACGTATCTAATAATTCTCTATTATCTAACTGACGGAGTAATAGAATTTCTTTTTTTTACCCAGTCGCTATCCCCATTATTTTAGTTTGTTAACTAATCGTTATTTATTGGACGACCTCCGTAGCCGTTCGCACGCCGGTTTCTAGGTGTCGCCAACTCTGAGGTCCCGGGATCGATTCCCGGTCGGGTCAATGTAGAAAATAAACTTTTCTATATTGTCTCGGTGTCTGGCTGTTGTGGTACCTTTGTTGTCTTAGATACTCCATAATACGGGGGCTTTAGCTACTTATCTTGGAATCTGAGCAATGTACCTACGTGATTTTTTTAAATATTTAATATTTAATTTATCACTTTTTAAACACGAATAGATTCTCGAAATACATTAACGACACAACATTACTTATACATTTCTAAACACATTGAAAAAAAAAAGCTTTTTCTATTCCCGGAATGCTCCCAAACGACAAGCTTCCTTACTTTGAAAGATGTTAACTTTTCACTTACAAATTGCGATTGATGTGCTAAAATACGATATCGTGTGTTTTGTTCACAATTTATTATGAAAAAAGAAAATATTCGCTGTCGAAAATTCTCGAAGTTGAACATAGAATAGACCCTGATGTGAAGGGAAATAACTATCGATTTCATTCGGATCAACTTCGAAATTTATTCTATGCACTTCTGTTTTCATAATAATTTGTAAAAACTAATAATAAACGTTGTTTCAGATGTACAAAGTGTGTTGATGTGATATTGTGTAGCGAAAGTTAGACCCCAATGACCCGGCTTCCGACATGCCACAGTCCCCTTCACCTCGACTGCGTCATTACAGGTCCCAATAACAACCATGCATGATACCGCACCTCTTTAGAATGCACGCATATTTATATAATATGAAAATCACTCGGTGGATTGAAGCGACGTACTTCAATCCGTAGCATAATATTATAATCCAATTAGTAGTTTCAGAATTCATTAATTTTATTCACGTACGTAATTATCATACCACTTTTGATATTATGTACAGAAACTTTTTTACAAATTATAGTATTTTTCATATCAGATGCACATAGTACCTATATATTTCACCATTATTAGCGCATGTTATACATATAAGCACTTTACAGTGCTTAGCGTAATATATTTTCCTATCATTAAAACTACCTTACATATCGCATGAATATTCATTTTATCAAACAAAACATTACTATAAATGCCCATTCATACAACAAGCATTAAACACTACACTGTCATTAAAACACACACATTACGTAATAGAATAATATTAATTAGTTGCACCGTAGAAAATTAAAATAGGTAAGTCATTAGGTTAGACCAGTATCACATAATTTAATAATTTCGATACCTACTTATTATAAAACTTTTATTTTTTATAGCATCGATATTTAAAGGGTTACTTAACACGTACAATTTAATTAGATTTAGATCAGTAATTTACGTTTTAATAATTTTGATCTTATATATTTTTGGTTTATATTGGATTGAAAAGAGTTCAGACATGATTTGTAAAGAAACAGCCTTGAACTCGTCGTCAAAGGCGAAGTAGTTGATTGCCTTTTCGAGTAGATTTTATTTAATTGAAACTCTATGCCTGTAACATCACTACACTGTTGGATTGGCTTGGATTTAAATAAGCATGTGACTCTATAATTTGGGTTTTCATCTTAAAAAATTAGAATATATTTTCATTAATTCAAATCATTTGTCAGAAAATAATGCAAATTTAGAGCTTGCGATTGAAAGTGTTTCACTTTTGAAGTTAGGTAAATAAGAAATTAAATGATTTTAAATTACTTAAAGATTTGTACTTTATAATTAAGATTATAATTATTCGCATAAAAAAGACGTTATACTTAAACTCGTCATCAATTAGTTATGTGATTGTTTTTTTTTATTATAGAGCTAAAATACTTCGGTATTAAGTATCGAAACGCATTTCAAAGTTAAATAGAAGTCGAGAAACAGTATGAAATGTTTTCTATTCTTCATCGTATTCTTCATCTAGTCCTGCAGAGCAATTCTGTAAAAATCCGAACACAAATTACAATTCAGTCAGGTTTCCGAATTTACTTTAAAAGTGACATTCGCCTTACCTTGAATATGTATTAACCTTTAATGGCAATTAATTTGAGGTCAACATTAATTTCATTGTATTTCCTTTCTCTGCAATATGTCCATACTAGATCAGAATTTTCCTTTGAGTTTCTCAGTCACTGCTGCCGATACCATACTCACTCAGATATATGTTTTCTATTGTCATAATATCTAAATCACTGTTGTTCCCAATTTTCGCATTGATAGGTTTTGAGGTAGCAAGACTGGTGTAAGTCATCCGAATCACTCAGAGGGTGCTATTTGCTCATCCGAACTACCGGCGATAACCGTTATCTCGAACGATTGGCCCGACAATACGACGCATGTAATAATATCAATAATAAAGGCATCTACTCGAGCGATAAACGTTCGTAATGCTGTAAAAGCCGACGCGTTTACCGATAACGTTATCATGTTTCGACTTGTCACTGAATTTGTAGTGGAAACATCTATTTCAGACTGTTTTGTTAAGAAAAGCTTTCAGATAAGAAAATTTGAACTTGATGAGCACTCAATAATAAATGATATTGTATCTAATACACAGACATTCTTTGGCGATAAGGTAATGGGAACAAGAATGACGACTTTAAAAAGAGATATATTTTAAGTACCAATTCTATTATAATAAAATTTTTGAATGAAAGATTCCCACACAAAAAGCAATATAACATACATAATGTGACGACCAATATTATACAAAAATTCAGTATACTAGGCCATACTGATACGGTAATATTAACAAAAGAAAGAAGACATATTATAAAATCAGCGTTTAATTATATAATTAATGGTTTATGAAAATAAAAAGAAAACCGTTAAAAGCATTTTTTAATATATAAAAGGTTAATACTTATTAATTTTTAATATAATCAAATACGACGACAGCGTCCTTGTCAATTGCACCAATGTCATCCGTCTCCACTCACCAGACGATAGTGATCGAAACAATTTCCGGACGAATAGTTTATTAATAATGCATGTCGATGAGCTTTATAGGTGCGGTTATTACCTAATATCGGTAGTTCGGTTATCAGTCCGACGATGCGAACACAAGGGTGCGATACTGCATCACGGTTATTCAAGTACCAAACAGTCACCATGAATTCCGCGACGTATTTCCAGAATAATAAGGCGTGAGTTGTTTTGAGACGTCACAGGTCTACATTTAAATTTGGAACATCATCAGTTATTTCAAATAATAATGTGACAGCACCCTTGTTAAACAACGGATATCTAACTTTGAATAAAAGTCTAAAACTTATATCAGAAATTTGTATTTAGAATGGAAATTTCGGAAAACAAAAGAAATATTATTCTGAAATATCGTTATGTTTTTGACAGGACAATGACCGCAATATGTTTCGTTTGCAACCTACCCATACTGTCGCACCAAGTGGGTCTGGTGTGGGCTGGAGGCAACGGGTGGGACGAGCTGACACGATCTACGTTGGAAGAGTCCACGTTGCGACAAAGGCTTGGCAGCCGCAGAGACTCAGCTGCGCAAGTTTCCTGTCTTTCCCCTCCGGAACCAGACGTCGCAGACCAGTCCAGAGGTAAATAAAATTATTAACAACTTTCATTTATGGCAACTCGTATGACTCAAATATTAAATATAAACTCGTACAACACAATATTATAAGTAAATGATCTATAATATACGCTGGGTTTAAAATATAAAAGTGTCCCAAATTATTAAAGTTTCATACATAAAAGAGAGAAATACTCAGTGATTTAAAACCAAAAGCACTATACATTTTGTGAACTCTCAAAAAACTTTAACGAATAACTATGTTTAATATTTAATTTGTTGTAGGAGGTCCCCGACGTCGTCGTTCATCTCTGGCACAGTTGACGGATATTCTACGCGAGTGGGGAGGTGGTGGCAGCAGTGCGCCCAGACGTACGCGGGCTCCACTCTCGAGGCGCGAAACCCTGGCTGACCTCGCACGTTCCCTACCTTGGGCACGCCACGAGCCGCCTCCACGCCGCCGTCGCGACTCCTCTGCTGATTCAGGCATCAAATCTATGGCTTCCAAACGTAGAGACTCAAAAGCCGCATCACAAGACTTTCGTGCAGAATTCCCCAACTACTGGGAACGCAAAGATTCCACAACAATAATGCCTACTAGAGAACGCCGAGTGAAACGACGGGGCTCAGGTGATGATAGCAAGGACCGCCGAGATTCAGTTGACGGACACAGACATCGTAGAGACTCTGTTGTAGCACCACCTCGAATAGTAGCCACCCACAGGAAACGCAGAGCGTCACCTCCAACTCCTGCCGCGCCTTCATTTGTAGATGCTTCATCAGATCCTGGACCGTCTACTCAACCACCTTCAGTGACCGTTGTTGCTATTCATGAACCGAGCCGTTCCGATGGAGAATGTCAACCACTCACAATGCCAACCATTATCACGTCAGCTGTTACCCCGTCACCAACATCACCGACGATACCTAGTGCGACGCAAACTACTCAAACGGCCCAAACTACTACTAGCACTACAACTACAACACAAGGCCCTCCAACAACACAAGCAGTAACTCCAAGTGGTCGTACGCCACCAAATTTAGGCGGCAGGCGAGATTCTACAACGCAATGTGGTCGAGCAAGACGAGATTCACGAGCTGCAGCTAGTCCCGAACGGAGGCTAGGAAGATTACAAAGACAGGCTACAGCTTTTGATGACCCTAATGGTCCACCTGGAGCCAGACGCAGAGATTCCGGTCCCTCGTTAGGTCCTGATGATGAAGGAAGAGCTAGAAGAGATTCATTGAGCCCTGATTCAGCAGCTAGGCCACGACGTGACCGCTCTCAATTAAGTCCTGATCGTGCAGGAGGTGGTGAATTAAGCCCATCTGCAGCCAGACGTCGTGGCCGATTAAGGAGGCAGGCATCGTGTGCAAGAGTTGGTCGGACGCGAAGTCCTGAATCTAGTTCATGTTCAAGTCGCGATCCAAGTCCGTGCGCTAGACCTCCCGAAAGAACTATAATACGACGGCAGTCCACCACAGAAGAAATACTTATAGCAAGAGGTTTCCGCCGTCAGTCTACCACTGAAGAAATGATCCGCTGTCGTAATTTCAGACGACAAAGTTCACAGAGTGATGACGCGTGCATGCGGGCGAGAGGCCGTCGTGACTCTTCTACGCAAATACTAGATGGCACCATCGGTACTATGACTGTTGAAACGACTAGTACATTCTTCGATTCCAGCACCCAAACTGGTGAGTAATTAATTTAATATCATCTTATTTCTATATTTGATGCCAAAGAAATAAAATGCTCACCATTTTAACGGGTCATTGCCCACCGCACAGACCCATTGTGGATTGGTAGGTGTTAACAATTGTAGACACAGCTGAAATCAACGTCTTAACATGCCTCCCAAACCACATAGGAGCTTGATAAAAAATAAAATTTTTGGGTACCTATTCCATGGGATCGCAGACCGCACTAGTTAAGTATTGTGTCGTTGAGCTAATTGTGTAATTTGAAAATATGTACTCATATAAATGTATAATAATTATTCAAACATTCATGAGGATCTTAATTAAAATCGACATTATTAGTAATTTAACATTCATCAAGTACTGGTAAGTAATAGTAAACTTTCAAAGTTCCTCATCAATAGTTAATAAACCATGAAAGTGCACATACGAAACTTGCCAGAAACTGCATAAAGCTCTTCAGTAAGATTTGCTTTCAGTATCGACAGAAACTTAAAGTTGACAAGTGAACTTTGAACTGAACACGCTGAGAGCTTTCGCGGTACGCGGAAAGCATTAACAACAATAAACTGCACGGGTACTGACATCCAGCTGTAGCCACGTGCTCGCCCCCGCCCATTTTGTCTAGCCAATCGATTCGCACGATGCTTCTTCGTCTCTTTCTGGCTAGGTACTGCTTTACCGATCCGATGGAGAGGGCCGACAAAGACTTCTTTACCGTGCGTGTAAACGCTCAGTGGCGCCACTGGCGGCGAAAGTCACTGGCCACATTTCGGCAGAACGTTTCTATCGCGAGATGAGATGAGCTTATCCGCGAGGCGCAGGCTCGTCCGCGCCCTCTCATCTGTTGCGAACGCTGCCATGTTTACTAGAACGATAGTGACGTACCGTACGCAACGAATAACCTCAATCCCACCAATACATGAGAAACCCTCAAAATAAATCGAGATATTTAATTTTCAATTATCAGTCGACAACGAATATTATTTACGTCTAAAACTCATCGTTTGATATCTAATAGCAATATTTTTATTGTGGTTTTTATATAGTTCTTGCTTTGTGTTATGATAAATATTTTTATGGTAAATTAGTGGAGTGATTTGTGAAAAACTATAAAAAAGACAATTCTGAAGTGCGAACGATATTATCGTAATTGACTTTGATCAAAATCTAAACATAACCTATGTTTAAAATGAAACTAAAATTAATTTAATATGAAACACCAATTTTTTTAAAGTTTATTATTAAGGGGTTTACGTATAAAAAATATTAACTGTAAAAGACACAAACTTCAATAAACTTTTAACTCAATTTATTTACAAAATACCTTTGGAATGATGGTAAGTTAAACTGTTTTCAAACAATATTCGTTTAATATATTTTAAATAAAGGTGCGCCTAGTGGTTTCACCGAATAACTTAATAGCATTCGGTATTCTATTTTTTATATGTATATATTTATATTTTATCTATATTTACATATATATTCGTTTAAGTATATATAGTAATATGTATTATGCTTTTATTTATTTTTGTTTTTTTTTTTATTCTTATCGCCTGACATTCTGACTGCAACATCTTTTTTCTGGTAGGCTGGCAGAGAATGCCTATGGCATTAAGTTCGCCTTTTGTGTCAAAATGCAATAAAGAATAAATAAATTAATATGGGGCCGAATTATAATGTTTAACATTTTATTAATTTTGGAAGTGCTCCTTGTAATACAGCGAAAATTGTTTCGGAACCAGAGAACTTATATAAAGAAAAACCTAACAGACTCTTGCCGGAGAGATCCGAGAACTTTTTTTTGTTTTCGAACCATAATTTACAACTTATATAAATATTAAAATATGTATATATTTATTTTACTTCTGATCTTTTATTTTTTATAATGACTATAGTTTATAAAATAAATATTTATGATTTGAAGTTTCATTGTTTTATTTAATTAGCATTATTGAACACTTTGTCCATAGTATTTCTTTGACTTATATTGTGACATAAATCTTATATAAGAAGTTTTGTCTTTTAGTTCTATACCATGTCGCATAGCCAAGAAAATAAGAATATTCGAGCCGAATATATTCTGTACCAAAACCGAATAAATTGGCCGCATATAAAATATAGAAAAAGATGCCGAATACCAAACGAATATTAGGCGCATCTCTAATTTTAAATACCATTACAGTATCATATCAAGTAAATGTATATTTTTAGATTTTTTCATTATTATAAAATCAATGACTAAATTATTAATAACTAATAATTTGGTAAAGAAACTGTCTATTAAAATTAAATATTGATAAAAAATTACAAAGCTTTACTTGTGTAACTAATGGATTAACTTTTTGTGACTGCGCTAGAATATTGTGATTTTACGCAGTTTTTAAAATCTTTTAGTCCATTAAAAACGACTATAAACAATAATAAAAAAAAGGTTCTATAATAAAAGTTATTAAATAGCTTCCTGTAACTAAACTACGTATGTGGGTTGTTAGTGAGACTGATAAACGTAATTTCGAATTAAGTAATTTCATAGTAACATTAGTTTTTTGGTTTCTATTTAAGACTTCTCGGGAAATTTTATTCTTATTCTACACAAGAAAACTTTACACATCTCAAGATTCTAAAAAATCTAATCTAAGAATATTAAGCACCATAATAAAATAATCTAAAGAAACAAGTCATTCAGGGGACGCTCCGTAAACCACCGACACTTTTTTTATATTCGTGAAAATATTTTTCCTTTGTAAACAACATTTTTTCTGTACTTTCAAATTTGATTAGATCGTATTTTAGACTAATTTTATATTCATAATCTACTTAATAGTTTTACTTATTTAAAGACTAAGTACCTGCTTAATGAAAAATGCTTAAATATATTTGTAATCAAATATAATAAATGAGTACTTAGATAAATGTATTTCAATTATCCTATTGGAAAGTTTAATTTAAAAATACTTAGATAAAAAAATAATAAGATGTAATCAAAAAATATTTGCAAACATAACTTACTTTCTATACGACGACTTAACATTTCCACTGACTGAACTTTCAAATTAAAGTGGAACGAAATAGGACACCAAAAAAACACGTCGCGAAAGGGCAATGTGGGTCGAAAAGTAACAATAATAAATTGAAATATAGTATGAGTTGTGTACAACGTACTAACGATAACACATCAAGTTGATCATGAATCCGCCTTATCTTAAGTTTATCTTAAATCTTTTATAGTAGAATAAGAAACATAATATTATTTGCTGCCTGGAGGTGGGCGCTAATGGTTGCACTTCAGTTTTGTTTTTTAAACTACGGCGACTATTATCATACACTATACTTTTGTTAAACTATTTTTCCAATTAATACATTATGTTTTTTGAACTCTACTCATAACATATGAAAGTTATAAAGCCACTAACGAAATTGTCAATTTTTATATAATCCGTCGTGAATTTGACTGTACACATGCCCGTATAAATACACTCATCCCTTCCACACTATATAAAAGCTCACAAAGACTGTAATAAAGGACTTTATAGTCACTATATGAACCATTGCGCCTGAACTATCAGCGTTATAGTAAAAGTATACTAAGGAAATTGGTTTTATGTTAACCTATAAATATTTTCGCGGCAGACTGGCAACCTCACATTTAGGGCACCGAACAAAATGAAGGTCGATGAACTATTCCGTTTTCCGTCATAATAATTCCATTACTTAATATTGCCCTCATCGGTCTGTCTACCGCGAAACCTCACTCGTGTCAAAATTTCCAAGTAAAAAGTGCAAGAAACGTGCAGTAGAATGTAGTTTCAAATTTCATACAACATTAATAGCTTAAAATTCAAATTCAAATATTATAGTATAAAACTTTACATCACTGCAAACTCTGGCATGCACAACTATACCCCAACTCAAAGGAAAGTAGTTCCAACGTCTTTCTTTTCTGGGTTTTAGTAGGTCACAAATCACAAAAAAATTACAAAACAAGTTACCAGCATTACCTCAATCTGTAAAATTATTAATTTACTCTTCACTTGAAATGACTTATGGGATTTTAATATAAAATATACACAGATAGCCTTAGCCTAGACAATCTTATTTATCAATTTAACTACTGTGAGTCGCTTATATTTTTTAAATTCGGTACACCTGGTATATTTTTGGAATATTCTATGGGACGAAAAAAAAAACAAAGGAGAATAGTTAAAACAATATCAATCTCTTCCCATTAAAAATGGGCTGTACAAAAGTCGCTGGTGTGGTTAACTGAGATATTCCGTATTAATGTTGAATACTTATATTTCAAACAATACTTACGTCTATGGATTATAATTCCAAAATCCACGTGAATAAAGAGAATCCTGATATAACTTTCAATTCTTATTCATTTGTCTAGACTAGTAGCTAAATCCAGAAATTCTACCCCCACAATATTGGGTTTAATTAACAAGTAAAGTACAATTTACAAAAACTGAAGCCGCTACAAACTATGCCAATAGTTATTCTGCACTGTTTAATAAGTCAAAACGAGTAATTTTTTTTTTCATTTTTTTTTATTTAAAAGAACACCAATATTGAACATTTATGTAAAAATCACAGTCAAAACTTAATAGTGCCTTAAAGAAAATAACATATAATCAAATTACAAAAAAAATAATAGGTAGCCTTAGCCTTACTCATCCAGTCTTTAACGGCTATGCCGATTATTTCCTCTGACCTTCTTTGTTTAAGTCTGCCTCTTTTTCGTTTGTTTTGTAGTTATATCCGTGTACTTATTTTAAGTCCATTTTTGGCTATCATACGTGTAATATGACCCGCTTAATTCCATTTAAATCTTTTAAACTGCTTCATTTTTTTTCCTAATTCTTTCATTTTCCTTAATAAGTATAGATTTCTAGTATCATATTTTTCTGTATGAGACATATAAAATATTTAGCAGACAATGCACGACAAAATATTGTAATGAAATATTTCCATATATAATAAACTTAAATAGAATATTTTGGCGTAATCTGCATATGAATTTACTATAACTGTATGGTTAATTTTGCTAACACGAATTATAAGCATTTGTGAAAGTTTAAAGGGTAAATTTACAAATACGTTCATCGAATAGCAATCTTAGTTTGCAGTGGAATTTAATATTGATGCTTTGAAATTAGAATTGCATTTGATTAAATTTCTGAGTTATTTGCATCCTTAGAAAGTCATTTTTAATAGGAACTGGTGTGAAGGCTTTAATAATTACTCTATTGAGCTCTATTATAATAAGTCAAGCAATTAATTGGTTAACAGGATCAAAGCGGAATAATCAGTGTATTTAACGGATCGACCTATCAATCAAGTATAACAAACGAGGCATTTTCATTTGGGTGTTTAAAAACTTCCAAGTGACCTTAATTTATTTTATGTCACGCGCTATTTGCGGTCACGTGACAACGTACATAAAATATTTGTTTTTTTTTTACAATTTATAATAATATACTCCCTGCCCTTGCTGATTGATACTCAGTCAATCATTGCGCAACACAATCGCAATTGGGTGACTTGACAGTCATCGATATGAAATATGAATCAAATAAATTTAAAATATACATTATCTATTATGTCTTAAGTAGTAATTTTTAATATTTATGTAGGTTATGATTGATTGATTGCGTATCTTAGATTATTTATTATCCATATTCCGTGTCCCAATAAAGCGCAACGACAATAGTGAAGCCGTTTGAGATTCGTGTGTGCGTGAGCAAAGAGTAAAGAGCGTGTAGTAATTTCCAAGTTTTCATTTATATGGGTGACATGAGTGATAAGATAACAGTATACGATGGTTACCCCAAAATGTTGGAAATATCAACATATTAAGATGATTAATAAAATTTCCCGAACATAACTGTTCGGTAATAAAAATAATGTATAAAAGCAATATTAATTATAAATATTTGAACCATAAAAGTGTAATTATCGTTAATAGTATATTAAACACTACTAGAAAAAAATATATTATCTTCGTTTACTCTCTTCACCTGTATTATAAAGACAAAACACATTTACTGTCTACCTTTCCGTACGTCCCCCTCTTTCTTGCTCTCTTTTACATATATTAGCGGCTGCTCATTCGGTATTGTATAAAATACCTAGGGAAAGTATAAAATAAAAAGTGTAACATACATTACCTACCAATTTAGGAATTGTATATGTTACCTAGGTATTATATACAATACTGAATTCTACAGATTACCGGTCACATATGCAATTACACTTTTTGTTACTACTACTACTTTAAGATATTTTACTTATTACTTTTAAAATAAATAGTGATTCTATATTTGGTAGATTTTTT